TGCCATTTAATTTGGAAACACCCTGTATATATGTATATGTGTATGTAGAAATCTTAATTTATACTTATTTATTGATATTTATATTGATTTGTTTTAACTTTAATGTAAGTGCAGTAAAAGAGAGATTATATAACAGATCTAATTATATTAAAAATGAAAAATTTCTTGTTAATATATTTATAATGTTTTACATGATACATTTAAACAAGTAAATCATATTAAATTGCAACTAGATGTTAATACACAAATAGTATAAAAGTTTGCCTTTGTATGCATGTATATGATAATTTAATCTTTTATTGCTCTTACATTAAAGTAAAACAAATCAATATAAATATCAGTAAGTCAGTATAAATTAAGATTTATATATATAAGACTTCAAACGATATTTGATCTTTAAGACTTTCTTTATATCGAGAATTGGTAATTTTTCACTTAATTAGGGCGATCTGACTGTAATTTTGTCAAAATGCCCTGCTTTGCTGCTTGGGGTGTATGAAATGCCCATACAACATGATGCTTATCTTTCTTTTTTTACATATTCAAAAAATGTAATGCTTTGTAAATACGACTGTAAAGTTTTAAGTGTACATTTGAATAGCATGCACGTATGCTCTCTCGTTCATTTGCCTTGTTTGGATAAATGATCACTTATTTTTATTGTTAAATAATCACTTATTATTATAGTTATAAGTTTATAGACTAGTAAGACAGTTTGATTGGTAATAAACTACTTTTTATATATATATTCCTTAAATACTTTTTTAAAAATTATCTTAAAATGTGTTACAATAGTTCTTAGTCATTATTACAACATACGGAAGTAGGGCTGTAATAACAAGTATAATAAAGTAGTTTCTAGTTCAGTATAGTTTCCAGAAGAAAGCATGTTTAACTATTTTAAAAAATTGTTCTTTGAATTATTCTTATTAATACTCAATGATAATTAAAGAAATGATAATTTATCTTCCAAAATTAAAAAAAGTGTAAGTAGTAATTTAGAAGAGGGGCTTTAGCAGCAAAATCGTTACTTTCATCCCTAGTTTTTTCTATTTTGATCGTAACTGATTTTTATATGCTCAATAATTTTATTACACACAAATAAGAAACAAAGAAATTTTTCATAAAAAGAATACTTTAACTGAAACAAATATGTAGCAGAATTAGTAACAGTTATAATATTTTTAATCTTGTATTTAACTTATATTCTAATCTCACATGTTGCAATTGCAGCCGTTTCATTGCAAATAATGTACTCCACAAAATGCATTCTTCACAAAGGATTTCGTTGTGGATACTATTCTTCTCACTGCGGTAAGTGAACTATTATTTGTTTCCCAATTAATTCAATGTGTATTGTTTACTTTCATAATTTTAATTTTAGATAGTGGATAACGTAACTATATGTACGTATACTAAT